AGGGTCATAGCTTGGTTCTCAGTGCCAACAAAGCTACTCACAACCATTCATAACTCCAGTTTCAGGAGATCTGGCATCCTCTTCTGACCCTCATGGGCACCAGGCACTCACATATTTGTTTGTGTGTGTGTGTGTGTGTGTGTGTGTGTGTGTGTGTGTGTGTGTGTGCACATATATACATTTTACATACACACATGCAGGTGAAACATTGAAATACATACAATAAAAATAAAAATATATATAAAAAAAGAGAAGCTTATATCAATCTCTGGCCTACATATACAGACACACACACACAAACACATACACACACACAAACATGTGCACACATTTATATACATTAAACACATTAAAAATATTTTTGTTTTAAAAAAAAAGAAAAATTTCACAGTAGAAAAAAATATACCACTAGCTATTTATTGTTTTAGGTGAATGATATTGTAAACTTGGCTCTTATCTTTCAAAGTACAATAAGTGAGAAAGTTACAATCTGATGACTTTAGTTATCGTCCAAAGGCTAATGTCAACCCAAGCTCTATACTGTGGCCCTGTGTTCAGGGAAACATACATCCAAACTCCCCTCAGACAGAAGTAGATTCTGTCCCTTATACTATCATAATAGCAGTTATCTCTTCTCCAAACTAACGCCAGTTTAAATAAATTCATAGTCATGTTATCTAGACAAGGTTCTTCCTAAATTTACATACTCTGTTGCTTTTTATTTGAAAATTGAATTTCTTTCCAATGGGAAATACCTAAAATAATGTAGTTTGATTATCCCTAATCTGAAAATCTGAAATCCAAAATGCTCCAAAAGTCCAATCTTATTGAGCACCATAATGCTACAGTGCAAGAAGAAATTCTGTTTCATGAGAAAAAAAAATTGTGTTAAAATATTGTATAAAATTACCTTTAGGCAATGCATAAAATGTATATATGAAACATGAATGAATTTATGCTCAGACTTAGATCCTCTTCCTAAGATAGCTCATATGCATACACAAATACAGTCTGCCCTTTAACAATACCCTTTGAACTACTAGGGTCACTTGTATGGAGATTTTGATTTGAGAGATTTGCAACAATTTAAAAAACAAACCACATACCTTCAAAGTATCAAAGAACTAAGAAAAATACAGCTTAAGACCAAAAGTCTATTTTATTTTTATTATCCATAAATATTCATGATCTTCTATGAAAAGTTAAAATTTATAAAAATATATGTACACAAGCTCATATCACACATGGCACCATCCACAGTTGAGGGAAACACACAAATATAAAAATGCTTTAACATCTTAACTGCACCGAATTAACTGTAGTCAAGTTAGAAACTGCAATAATTGTGTTGCTACTGCAATGGACTCAAGTGTGGCCAGTATCCTCTTCAAGCATCATGTGACTCTGTCCTGTATAAGCAGCCATGTCTCTGGTCCTCTGTGTGTGTTATAGTACAAAGGACTCCCTCACTGCTCTCATATACTTCACACGGTATTGTACACAGATCATAGGAAATTAGTACTAATCGCTAATTACATCACTTCCAACAGCAGGTTATTTGTAGTTACATTGGGGGAATCGTAAGTTAGGGTCAAATTTTAAACAGCCATTACTCCAGCATTGTTGGAGACTCAGTTGCATTCTAATTCCTATACTTCCCACCATCTCCTTAAAAACTCCCACCCACTCTGGCCAACAAGTACGTAGATAAAGGAAACTAAACCTCCACATATTATGCAAAAGCATGAGTATATGAGCCTCACATCTACACAGCCTAGCAATGGGTTACAAAATGGTAAGCTTAAGCTAATACATTTATTCTTGGTGTTTTGAGAATTCTCCCACTAGCTCTCTTGGGTCACATGACTTTCAATTTCCATAACTGAGTGATTCTGTATCACCAAGTTATCATAGGAAGGAGATGCCACTGACCAAGCTCACAGCTGCCGTGGTAATGACATGGGTTGTTTGCTTCTCCACTTAAGGCTCCCTTCAAACATCTTCAACATTTCAAGTTATGCTTCAAAATTACTCAAGGCAGCTGGGCCTGATGTCTGATTCTCCTTAATTGATTCTCATATTTAAGCCTCTGCTGTTCTTACCATTTGTTCTTTGGCATTCATCATTATAACAATATTTGTTTATCTCTCTAAATAAGTAAAATGTGAACATTCTGAAGTGATCTTCTGAGGGAATGAGAATACCAGAAAATTACCACACACAGAATGAGAGCCTTGTGACAGGCTCAAAGGATAAGAGAGTACATCAAAAGGCACACTCAATGCCAAGTGTCGCAGAGGGCATGGAATCGAGAGTGATAGGTACCAGATTGTAGTACCCTTTCAGCTTATGTGATTCTTCCAGACAAAGTATACAGGGAGCCTCCTACCTTCAGGGTAGCCTGAGGAAGGAAAAAGTGGGCATGCCCTGACATCTCTGTTAGCAATCCACAATGAGATCCCACAGTCCCTCTCTTGGGTGACAGGACATGCTTTAGAAATAGCCAAACCCACAGAAGAGCCTCATCCCTTGGAGTCTGAGAGGCTACATGAATGAGTCTTCCAATTTCTCCAACCCATAACCATGGCATCTTGTTCAACCATAAGCAAGGTGGTCCTCTTCCAAAGGACTCCCTTTCAACTACTCACAGACAAGAAGGATGGCAAGATCAAAGCGGCACTCTACTCACTACAAGATAGAAAATTCTGGCAAATGGAAGACTTGTCATCCATGCTTTTAATGCCAAAGAAGTGCCAGCCTCACTGAGCTGATCATTTCCTTGAGTAAGACACTCTTTAATTAGGAGAAGAGAAACAGGAAATAATCCACTAAAATGGCATGCACCAACATAGAGGCCAATCTATGGATCAAAAAAAAAGTGGAAAAATAACTTACCATGCAAACCTCACACGGTGTCCCATCATTGCGCTTTACTTAAACACAAGAAGAAGATAATTTTCACCTGCACTGATGAGGGGACAGTCACACTGCATGGCTAATGTGCACGAGTATTGTAAATATCAAATTATTTGTCAATTTTTAATATGGTCTTGGTGTGTTTCTGTTCTGGAAAAGAAGACTCAGGAGACAAAGGAAATGTCATCACTCATGCCAAATTCATTTTTCAAATTTCTGTAGACTCTCACAATTTTTTTAAAGCTTTTTTTTTTTTTTTTTTTTTTGGTTTTTCGAGACAGGGTTTCTCTGTGTAGCTTTGTGCCTTTCCTGGATCTCGCTCTGTAGACCAGGCTGGCCTCGAACTCACAAAGATCTGCCTGGCTCTGCCTCCCCAGTGCTGGGATTAAAGGCATGCACCACCACCGCCCGGCGACTCTCATAATTTTTACTTGCCAAAATTATATACATTTGATTCTTACATAGCACTGAAATCATTATCAAAACAAGCCATTTCTCCTTTTCTCCCAGAATAACTATTTCTTTTCTAATAACTTTCATAAATATGAATCCATTTTGGTGTGTACACGTGCGTGCGTGCGTGCGTGCTTGCGTGTGTTTCATGTAGGGAGATGTACATGTGGATTCCTGCATGTGGGAGCTAGGAGTCAACTTTTGATGCCATTACTCACACACTATCCACCCTTGTTTATTTGAGACAAGGTATGCCACTTGGTCTGAAATTTACCAATCAGGCTAGTCTGACTGGCCAGTAAGCCCAGAGATCCATCTACCTTCACGCCCCTCCCAGTGCTGGTATTATAAGCATGAGCAGTCTTGCCCAGCATTTTTACCAGGGTTCTAGGAATGGACTCAAGTCCTCATGCCTGTAGAGCAAGCACTTTATTGAGTAAGATCTCTCTTCGACTTCCCTCTGCCTAATTAATCTTCTAACAACTCCATGACATAGGTACCTTCTCTTTATACTTGAACAAAATGGAGCCAAAGGACTATCTTCAGATCATTCCAAATTGGATTCCTAAATCTAGCTCTTACCACTGTAACAAGTTTAGTAGCCAGGGGTGGTTATTCCATCAGAAGAGGTGCAATCAATGTGGAAAATGCCCCCAAAAGCCAATCAGCTTACAATTCAATTTGACTTAAATAAGTATCCAATGAGCACCTGCTACTTGGTGGCCATTGTGCTATATGGTAAGATAAACCAGATTACCCAAGAAGCACCTAGGAAGAAGACCTGGCCTTGCTACAGATATCTTCTTAGGAACTAATGTGTTAAAAATGGTTTTTTAGCAATTAATGCCACTGTATCAGCTATGATACACTTACCTCCTCGAATTTAACAAAATTGATATATAGGAAAGATGCAGTTCAGAATTTGTAGCTGATGTGCAACACTATGGAAATGTGCTGGATGTGTGAACACCACTGGCCAGATGTCCCCACCACCATATCTCATCCTTTTGGTGGGCTCCAGAGAGATTTTTTTTTTCCCTCTAAGCCTCTAAGGCAAGTTTTCTAGATATCCATCAACTCCATCGTTTCCAGGATAGAATGCCTGTCACTTAACCTTCATCCTCCTTGAATTTTCATCCTGATAGGTTTGGATTAAACCACAGACTGATAAATGAGCACAGCTTTGGGGACACAAAAGAGCAGTCATTAAGGAAGCCCTCCAAAAGTATGAATCAAAAGCACGGGTCTTTTGTTTTTTTCTCCTGTTCACAGATCACCTGCAGTAATAGTTTCATTATTTTTATTTATTTCTTTTTCCCCTTCAGTTTCCAAATGGTTTCCATCATCATTTCCTGTTTGTCTTTCCAAAAGAATAAAAGCATGTCCTGGCAGCAGGCAGATCTGTGCTTACTGCACTAATGTGGCTAGCAAAGGCATTTTATCAATTTGGGATTTAATCCAGGATTAGGCATCAGGGAGAATAAAGGGGGATAAAGGTTCGGTAACAGGCCTCCTGATGTGAGTCATATGTTTCACTCATAAAGACTTAGAATAATTAGAGAGAGGATCCGATTCATTCCTTCCACCCCAAGGCAACCATTTTGATAAGACAGAGCTTGTAATATGCCGTTCTTTCTATACATTCAGCTTCTATCTTGCCTGTTCTGAAAACTACCACCTACTTACACATGGTGTTTATTTTACGTATGGCTCCGGGAGTCACCAGCCAGTGAACACTGGCTTAGCTCATGTCTGAATTCTTTTCCATCTCCATCAGACTAGAAGAAATCAATGAGAAGAGAGAAGAGGGAGGGTGCAGAACTCAGGCTTTCCAAAGACAGTGGTTGCACCAGACACAGCAAGAGCTCTGGGTGATTTTCATGGGCTTCAAGAGATAGCCGTGGTGTTTGTGTTGAGTCACACCAGGGATGCTTGGTTGCTCAGCCTCTCTGCCCATTTCTAAAACAAAATGCCTTTGGAGTCCAAGTAATGCTTTATTCTCTGACCCACATTAGTTGTGACCCAAATGTCAGCTTCTGAATTTGCTTGACCTTGTAGATGTCACCTCATTCTTTCAGACTTTAGCAATATTGCTTGCAATCCTCATTTGTGGATGAGCAGCTATCCCTGGGCAGCCTGAGATTCTGGGGATAGAAAAGAGACTTAGAATTCTGTTCAGCTCTCCATTCCCCGTCTACAGAATTCAGCCCTCTCCACATGCAGCAGCTACTCCCTATGGCCCTTTTGTTGTGTCATATTTCCTAGCCAGCACTCGTCCCCAAAGTCTTATCAACACAAGGCTACATGCAGCAGGCCTTTTACAATTTTTAAGAACTTATGGCCTAGTGAGAATGCAAAGGTTCAGTGCTAGCATGGGAAAGTCAGCTTCCTGGGGCTTAGGAAGAGCCCTCATCACTGGACATGTTTGTGTGTCTTCACTGCTCCATGCCCAAGTTGGCCACAGTGATGATTCCCAAGATCCTAACTACATCTTATAACTAGGAAGGCAAAGGAGGACACATTTATCAGATCCTTCTAAGTCTGCGTACTATTAAACTATGCTTGTCTGATATCCTAATATGCAAATAATACACATAAATCAAAAAGGTCAAGTATTAAAGAATGAATCAACTAATGAAATCAACACTGCACAGAATATGCACATGGCCTGATGACATTCTCTCCTAGTCTTTAGTTTAGGACTGGTGACAATTTAAGTTCTACCTTAGAGCTCCAATCTCAGACTAACAATGCCAAGCTACATCAAGACCTGTGCCAAAAGGCTGGTGTTGGGGATGGGAAAGGAGAAATTCTCTCCACACCAAACAGCACTGTGAACAGGCCACAGCATAGAGGGGAACAAACTTCAAGAGAAAACAAAGAAGGAGAGTGCCCTCAGCTAGAGCACCCCATGCTCCGTAAGGAGACCATGGCACTTCAGGCTATAGCAGCTCCTCCCTGACACAGTACACCCATATTCTTTAACACCAGCAAGAAATGGGTCAAGAAATTCACCCTGCTCAACACACCTCTTATTACCAATGACCCAATTACATGTAGCCTTCTCTGAGCTCCAAGTCCACCCCCTACAGTCCATAAAGAGCTAGCTACTCCTACCAGCATCTGGGGCCATTCTTGCCCTCCAGGACTAGGACAACCTGAGAGAAGTCACAAGCCTTCAACAAAGAAGCAAAAAGAGGGGCAGAAACTATATGCCAGGTAGAAGGTCATTCCCTATTCCTGAAACAAACACCTCCCAGGACAGACACCCAGTAAGTCATCTGAGTATAAAAGAGCCTGAGAGGAAACAAAACCATGCTCTATACCAAAGATCAGCTCCAGAGCTGATCATCTCAAGACTCCCTCTATAGGGAAAGGCTTAGACCCAAGATGCAGAGTCACAGGCAAAGCTATCACTGGGGGACTTAAATGCTCATAGAATCCAAGGTCTGGAGGGATAGAGTGGAACAGTGGCAAATTAGTGAATATAGCAAAACACAGAGTCAACATGAGCACACAGGATACTTGTATGAATCAGCAAACTTCCTGGCTCTGACAGAAACTGAGTGCAAACTCTAGCCCCATTACTTTCTGTGCAACCTTGGCCTCCTCATCTGGAAGATAAACATAAGAATATGAGACAACCGGAACTGACCTACTCCGACGAAGGGATGGCCAAACATCCTAATTGTTGTGCTAGAAACCCCATCCAATGACTGAGGGAACTGCATGCAGAGATCCATGGCCAGGCCCCAGGCAGAGCTCCAGGAGTCCAATTGGTGAGAAAGAGGAGGATTTGTATGAGCGAGAATGGTTGAGACCAAGGTTGGAAAAAGCACAGGGACAAATATCCAAACGAATGGAAACACATGAACTATGAACCAATAGCTGAGGAGCCCCCAACTGGATCAGACCCTCTGGATTAATAAGACAGTTGATTAGCTTGATCTGCTTGGGAGGCATCCAGACAGTGGGACCAGGTCAGCATCCAGACAGTGGGACTGGGTCCTGTCCTCAGTGCATGAACTGGCTGTTTGGAACCTGGGGCTCATGCAGGGACACCTGGCTCAGTCTGGAAGGAGAGGACTGGACCTGTCTGGACTGAATCTACCAGGTTGAACTCAATCCTCAGGGGAGTCTTTGCCCTGGAGGAGATGGGAATGGGGAGTGGGCTGGGGGGGAAGGGAGGGCTTGAGGGGGGAGAACAAGGGAATCCGTGGCTGATGTGTAAAACTAAATTTAATAAATAATTAAAAAAAAAAGAATGTCTTCCTCTGTCTTGTAAGAGTCAAGTGTTGCTAAGATCCAACTTTGGGCAAGTATTCAAAATGTTGAAAAACTGAAGTCTCAAGATCCTGTTCTAGTTAACATAACTGTACAAGTATTAGACGTGTTTTAAAGGCAGGACACTTTGAACCCATTTAACAACTCTCCTTTCAGGAAACCAGTTATCTGAAGCAGAGAGTACTGGCAGCTGAAAGAACTCCTATCCCAAGATCAATCAGGATCCCCAGAAGAAATAGAGAAAGCCAATGGAACACTACAGTGCCCATGAGGTTTAGCAACAAAAGGCACCCCTGAGCCTGATAAAGTAAGGGGCGCTAATAGCCACCAGCCTAGAGAATACTCAAAAAGCCACCTTCCTGCCACCATTTAGGAAGAGAGCTCAGACAGACAGCCCAACCTGTTCTCATTCTCTTGCTTCTCTTGGTTCATTCACTGTTTGTAGAGCCAGCAAGCCCATGGATGTCTTGCCTGCCAGCCTCCTGGTGCAGGGATCAAGGCTGATAGGGAGCAGAGAGACTAGAAATGCTGCCTGCTTATTTGCACTATTTCTCTTGTGGCTGCTAAGAGGTAGTATTTGACAGTCTTGGTTTATGAGATATCAGCAGAAATGTCTCTTAGATCTTGGAGAAAGGCTTTTATTTCCTTAGCCAAGTTGGTCATCCCTGGCATCTCCTCTTCACCTTGCAGAGAGATGTGATTCCTGGATCTATAACTGCCATGTTGAAACACTGAGGGAGTATCCCAAAAGAACCACAGAGATGCAAGCATCCATGTCCCTGAGGCATTGAACTCACAGCTGTCTACCACTAGACTTGCTATATATAAGAAAAACCTTAACTTATTTAAGCTACCATTGACGGTGTTTTGTATTACAGTCCAGTGCCACACAGCAATACTTTGATCAAAGACAGGCTATGCATATGCTGAAAAACCATACATTCTAAGCACAGTTAGTGAAGTCACAGTCCTCTTTGGCTGTAAAGTACACTTGGTATCACATAACAACAGGACTGCCCAGTAATATACTTCTCAGGATACCATCTCTTCCTTATGCAATGCATGCCATACATGGAAAATATTCACGTGTGTTTCTTCATAGCAAATCCAAATGGAGCTAATTGAAGAGGTGCTGTTCCTCTCCTTAGAAAGTGAGTCAGGGCAGGGCACCTACTTTTTGCTTGTGAAATAAGCATGTCAATATGCCAAGTACTGCAGGATTGCATGTAGGATCCAATGCCATCTTGGTGCTTCTTCCAAACTCTATCCTTTCCTTGCCTTACTTTATCCCTAGGAAGGGCCTCTTGCATGCCTTGTTCTGGGTACCTTCTTGTTGTCCCTTTGTCCTTATATGTCCACTGTGCATCAACCAGACTTGCACGGCACCAATTGTTTGCATTCTATTTCATACTCACTTTTAAAAATGATTCTTGCTCTAAAAGAGATGGGCTGATTAATGTACTCAAGATATCTTGCACCACACAGCCAATTCTTTTATCCTTGTTCCATTCATAATGTATAGCCCTTCTCTCTTCCAATGTGCATAAAAGAGCCCGTTCCCCACCAGCATTATTTGTAACCACAGAGCTTGAGGTGGTACTAGATGTCAAAAATGAAAAATTGCTAAGTTCAAAATTGCTTCTTCCTTTGTTTTAAAGGTGACCTGCAAGTATTTTTTTTTATTTTTTTAATGAATTAATTGCATGGTTATATGCTGAATGCTCCAAATGCAGAGAGTGAGAGAAGAACACTCAGCACATACCTGCAACAAATGCCTGGCACTGGATTCTGAGCCTTTGCAAATCAGACTGCTGAGCCCACATTCCCTGCAGCCCCAGCCAGAAGACAGAATCCGGCACACTCTGCTTCTGCAGTGGGAGGATGGGTGTGCGGGAGGATGACAAGCTGGCCTGGGAAGGAGGAGGCACCATTTGCCAACTTGCAGAATGACCTTGGGCAAGCTGTCTTAGGAGCACACAGCTCAGCCTCCCCACCTCTGCCAAAAGAGAGCTGTCTCCTCCTCATTCCCTCCCACTGAAGAACTGATGGCTATGACTTCGTGTTCAACACATGCCTGCCATAAAAAGAGGTTGTCAGAGCTACAAATTATTTTCAAGACTCATTAGGCCCACACACATTTTGTTTGATGGGGAAAATTCTGGAAAGCAGGCAGCAGTGAACCTGCTGGTGCTTCCATCGTGGTAATCTGCTCCCTGCAGTTGCAACACTGCCAGGGACCAGGCTAGAGTTTCTCAACCAGTGTCCTGTGCTTAAGTTGTGAGACACTGGCCCAGAGCAATTTGGGTACTTCAAGGATGGATCATCGTTCAGACCATCTGTGGTTTCATCCAGGAGGAAAAAATGATGCCCAAAGGCATGGAAAGTATCCAGGTACTGGTAGGGGTAGAAGCAGTCCCACTTTCCCCAAAAACGGTGTCTTGTGAACGACTTAAACTTCCATTTAAAGATGATTTTTTTTTTAAACAGGGCTTGCTCAGGCTGAGGTGAAACTTCCAGCAATCCTCCTGTCTCACTCTTTTGAATACTAGGATTTAGTCATCAGTGTTGCTAAAATTCCATCCCAGGGGAAACCTTTAGCAACATCTATTCTTTCTCCTAAGGTCCCAAAGACAAACCGAGACATGATACCAACAAAGTTCACTCTAGGGAACTAATGAGTTTATTAGGCTTTTTTATAACACATAAGTAAGGGGTCACTTACAGGGATGATATGAGTGTCCTCCCTTCATAGGCCAAACATGCCAGCTTTAAGGATTAAGGCTGTCCCATAACCCCCTATCACCTCCCTATGTACACTAGCCCATCCCTGAGAACACATGCAATTAGCCATCCCTGAGAACACATGCAATTAAGTCAGAGTTGCATACAACAGGTGTTAAGGAGTGTTTATGTACTTAGATGAGGGCCTTTTGAGCCTCCCCATGCCTCCATGGAGGGTATAAACAGTCACCAAGCCCAGTTGGAATGTTCCATTTGCAAAAGGGCACAGACGAACTCCCCAAGATGGTGGCTCCCTGGTTCAGAAAAGTCACTCACAACAATGAACCACCACACGGGCTCTGAGTCCATTATTACTGTCTCCAGTCGCCTGTCACTTGTTAAAATGTACATGGCCCTTTGAGGATAGCACATTAAATTATTCATTACCTGCTATTACACCTCAGAAAGAATGCGTAGTTCAGATTACATTACAGGGAGCTCACTACTTCTACAGCCAGGGAACAGTTGGTAAGGAAATTTTGCTTCTGAAATGAAAGATGGAAGAAAAGCAAAGTGAGTTGTATCCCAAAAAGGGTGCACCAAAATGAAGACCTCACAACCCACATCATGATCCTTTCATTCATCCGTCGAATACGAAATATTCGCTCTGCCCTGGGAGCAGTACCAAGAATGGACAAAGCCGCATGATTTAAGTTTCTAAGCACAAAGACAGCTAAGAACACTGCAGACCAGCCTGGCCTACTTCACAATATCCTTTTGAACTACTGCTTCTTAAACACTTCTTGGGAAGCTGGAGCATCCCGGTTCCCATGCCTGGGATACAGGATGCCCAGGCTGGCCTCCCAGGAATCAGGCAGCATGCTGACCATCTGAACATGGCTCCTGTCCTTGGCCCTATCTAGAAGTTTCCACAAGACGGCTGAGTTTGTATTCCTCTGTCTACTGACTTAGCAGCAGCATGGGCTGGCCAACACACCCAACAGAGACACTACTCATTAAGAGCAGTATGAGGACTGGGCTTTTATCAACCCTCCACATGAAAAAAAAAAATCAAATATGTCCTGAGGAGATCTTGCTAAACTGGTCTTGCAGAAGACGTGTTGCTCTTCTGAATTCTCTCTGAGCACCTGAGACTTGGAACTCTGGGGCTCTGACACCCACCCACAGTTCTGAAGACCGTGGGGGTGGGGGGTTTCACACCTCATTCTATTCCTGATGAGAAAGGCTGGTGTGTTTGTTGTTTTCACATCAAAGTACTAGGAAGATGTTGGAAATAAGAGCCCAGGTTCAGGCCTCTAATGAAGCTACTTGGGTCTTGCCAGGTGCACACAGGGAGGCCAGCCACCCCCAGATGTTAAGGCATCAGCAAATTGTGCCTCCAGATTTGAAAGTGCCACGCAGGTACTTTCGGGTCAAATGGAAATGCGTCCCTGAACTCTTCCTTGTGAGCTTAAGACTGATTGCACTACTGCTGAAGCCATGCTTAGTCAGAATGCACCTGTAAAATGAACTACAAGAACAAGCCATCCACAATCAGGTAATTCCTATCATAAGCTTAATGAGAAAATAACTCAGGAGCCACCAATGGCTTTTGCCCAAAGAGATGAATAATGTGGAGAATCCTTGGCTACGCAAAGAACAGAGGAAATTAATTGCCAAAGCCTCTGCAGCGTGTTGAAAGCCAAGAATTATCCTCTGGATCTGCACTTGTAATTTACAACAGCTGCCTCCTTCTGACGGGCCGGAGTGACTCTCAGGCTGCACAAGGCACGGCTGACAGCAGCCGTGAATCTGGAGCTGGGTCAGCACTGCGCCACCACATGACTGATGCCCGTCCTCAGGCACGTGGGCATCCCCCAGTGGGCACTGTCTGCTTATTGATGTTCCATGGCGTTTGGGAACTGGGGCTGCCACAGATGCATCGTGAGTGAGCATCTGACACCCTTTGTAAGCTTCTTGCCAGAGGGGAACTAGAGGGACAGAGAGAAATGGATCAAGAGGTTTCCTTGGGATCAATGCCTGTATCCAAGGCATTTATAAAAGGATGTAAGCCGGGGAGGGAAAAGAGAGAGGGGCAGTTAGAAGAAAATGAATCCAGAGAATAGGAATCAACTGATAAGCAACTGATTTATTTAAAATGCAAGACTTAGAAGGAGACTCTCAGGCATATAGAAAGGAATGCTTTCTTCCAGAAATAGATGCAGGCCTTGTGGAAGGGAGGCCATGACCTTCATGACACAAATGTGACAACTTATTTCCTTGTTCATACCTTAATCTAATGTTTCTGTCTGAAGGGCAGAGCCTAAAGACTTTACATAAAGTCAGCTTGCCCCCAAAAGCCCCTCTAGTCTGGTCTAATCGGTTGCCTCAAATGTGGAGAATGATGAGAAAGGGTGGAGATGGAGAGGGCACAGCATTTAAGTGCAACCATGAATGCCACATGGCTGATTTGCTTTAAATACTCAGAGAGTCTCTTGACATCCATGGTCCTGAGGAACTGGACTACAGATTTGGTTGTGGGGTCTCAGTGGAGAAGTAAATGGCACACAGTCTTGAGCGTGATGCTTGAGCCGAGCTTTCTTGAAAAGAGATGTGTGGCCCCACAAGCCTCAAATTCCAAAAATGAGTTGGGAATTCATTTCACTTCAAGATCCAGCTGCTCTGAAATTGTCATCAAATTAGGTAAGCTCCATTTCTTCAATTACTTACAAGTGTGCTGTCAATGCAATGGGTCCTGAATTTGGCTAGTCCCCAAAAGGCTTAGATATTGGAAACTCAGTCTCCAGAGAGCAAGTGTTGTAAGAGGGTGAAATATTTCAAAGGTGGGGCAGAATTGAATGTAAACAGGTTGTGGGGGTTCCACTTTAGAAGAGGGATTCATGCTAGTCTCACAGGAGCAGGCTAGCTTACATGGGACCAGATTAGGTCTCATGAGAGCAATTTTCACAAGAGAGCCTGGTGGCTTCCCTAAACTATTCTTTTCATGGCTCTCCTACAAACTTCCCTATGATATGACACAGTGTGAAGCCCTCACCAATGTGGCCATATAAGTTTAGATTGTCCAAATCCAAAATTATGAACCAAAATAAAACTCTTATCTTTATAAACTCCTCTACCTATGGAATACTATCATGGCAACAAACACATGAGTGTATGTGTGTGTGTGTGTGTGTGTGTGTGAGAGAGAGAGAGAGAGAGAGAGAGAGAGAGAGAGAGAGAGAGAGAGAGAGAGAGAACCACAGAGACTAAGAGCATCCTTTTCTAAGGACAGCACTAATAGGAAGGACAGTAAGCATGGTCAGCAGGTTTCTTGGAACAAGAACAGGACATGTATGTCATCGGGAAACAGGCTAGCCCCTCTGCATGCACAATGTTCCTCCTCAGGTTCTAGCACTAACAGAGGCTGAGTCATTTTAAAATCTTTCTGATCGTATTTTACTGGCAACAAGCAATCAAAACCAAGGGGGTGGATGATAGCATGCTATACAAGGTAACCAACTTTCCCAGCTCTGTGAGCCTTATAATCAAGGTAAACTCCCCCCTTGCTCCCAAATCAATCACACCTCTTCTCAGCTCATAGAAGACTCCAACTCAACAAAACAACAGGAGTTTAAGTCCATGTAAAAATAATGAAAAATAAAATAAAGCTACCTGTGTGGGCCCAGTGATAATTAATAGACACACTAAACTAAACCAGAGGTTAGTTCATGGCTGTTTTCACCTTTAACGTTTGTTTTGTCTGGAGCCTTCTCTATTAGGTGCCCTAACTATAAACCACACATTCTTGCCTAACCATGCCCTTCGCTCTTTATTTCTTACTCCCATCCCTTTATTTTAACTCCGTAACCCATATGCTAGCAACCTGCATCGCAATAGCTGTTAGTCACAGGAGTAAGAGCCTATGACCTATCTATCAGTCACGCCAGATGAGAAAACCAGCCCTGGACAGGACTCCACCCCAACAGCGACACCATGTGGTAGCAAGAAGTAACAGCAACTGCACACTGACAATGAGAAAAAGCCTAATGTCTGAAATCTCCCAAACTCTGAGCGAAAGTAAACCTTCCATTTTTAAAAACTAATCATTCTTGTAACAAAAAGCTGACTCACACATACACTAAGCTCCTCCTTCTTGCTCTGTCTAACTCTCTTCTCTTACTACCATTATCACGTGCCCCATCCCAGTTAAATGACTGTCCTGGACATCTTGGTCAGTAAGAACCATCAGAGCCATTTTGCCACACCTACAATCCCTGCACTAAGGAGGCTAAGGCCGGTCTTAATCTCACTGTCTATGCACTGGGACCCCATCTCAAAAACACCCTAATGATAATAATGACCATCACAAAACCAACTGGCATTCTTCCACATAGGGTAAAGTGCCTGTCGTGCCATATTATCATGAGCTTCTGTGAGAGCACCTGGACATTCGCCATGTCACTTCTGCTTCAGCCTCTACCTGTGTGCACCCAGGTCCTTCAGCTGGATAATGAGATGGCATTATTTGGGAAGATGTAATTTATAAAACATCCAAACTAGGAACCTCCTGAAGAAGAGGGGTAGTGGATGATGACATGATCTTTGTGGCAAGAAGGACAGACACAAGCAAACTGAGCTGATGGAATAGCTCAGGGATCATATATGAGAGACTAGCAACATTCCAGCTACAGGCTACTAAATGACCTAAATCTCTTTGACCAACTCCCAGCACCTCAATGTAATGAACCACTTCCTTCAGAAAGCCCTGGTAATCACAAATCCATCAACAAAGTTCTCTTTATCTGCCACATGTCAAATTCCTTTGAATGATATTCTCCCAAAATGCCCAACTACAGGCTTATGCAAGTATTCTTAGAGGTAATCTACACTAAGCTATGGTGCCCAGTAAGACAGATTACTAAGTGCATGCTATAATTAATATTTTTCAATGTATGATGGATTTATTGGTATCTAATATCATCATATGGTGATTAGCATCTATAGATTAAAATATGACATATGCTAGTGAGACTAGTAATATGAGGGAGAAGAATGGGAAAGGCTGGCATCTGTCCTCATGAGATTATCTTAGAGTGTTAGATGGAGTACTTGGAAAAGACCTGTTTGAGAGTGGAACAGTCAAGATATGATGTGTACATCATAACGGAGTCTCACAGCTATCCATCAATAGAACTTTCCAAGCTGTGGGGGGTGTTGGCAGGGGGCAACAAAGCAAAAGTTCTACTTGACATGGAAAACTGTGCAAAATTGTACTATGAGAGAGGTGTCAAAACCAACACCCTGCAAAGGAAGCAGAAATGAAGCTGCTTAACATCAATTGATCCCCCTGACATAGCTCTGTTCCATGAAGACATTATCTCAATGTGGGCATTTGAGCCCTCAAAAATTCAACAAAACTACTCAAGTAATATTAAGAAACTAAAGTCAGTAATCCTGATAATGGAATTCTTTGTTACGACAACGACAAAGCCAGCCCACCTTGACTAGGTGCAGAGAGTGACAAAAACTGAGCAATTCGTTGAAGAAAACAAGATTTCTTTTACGAGTCAAAAAGTTACTTTCAATAACTGTAAATACATCAAGAAGATTTATTCTGGAATATTCTTACAGTTCAATACAGAATTGATCAAGTGACCCGAAAACGTTCCAAAAGAAAGAATATATAAACTGAAACTATGAGAGCAGTCCAATGTTCACTTGAGGGAAGACCTCCCTGCTGGAGGTGCTGGGGGTTGTTAAGCCAGATAGTCTTACAGCAAGCCTTCAGGTTCTGAGTTTCCACAGCAGCCCATCTCCCCCAATACTTTCCCCAGTGGTCTCTTGCTATCTAATATCTCCTGGCTTTGAGAGCAGTGTGGCTATAATCCTCCAACATTAAGCACAGGGTACCATGATTGGCAAGTCGTTTTTCATTTTCATACCATGCTCGGCTCACAGCTGTCATCATCAGTTGTTATTTAATACTGTAAAAAAAATGCATCTATAACTGACCTTAGGTAGTGACTAGAGTACAGCTTTAATAACTGTGTCATGCAGCAAGTTGCCTTCTATATATTATGTTTATCTCCACAGACAAATGCTGCTCTCTACTTAAATCAGCCAAGCTCCTCTTTGCATTGAGTGGCAGTGAATACAGAGATACATGGCTGCCCAAGAATAAATAATAGTTAAGTGCCCCAATCTAAATGGGACATTTAAACCACCCCCTCTAAGGCTAAGGGAACACTGTGAAGAGGCACTGAAAAGAAAGCAAGAGCTGAAAATAGGGAGAAGAATGCTGTGAAACACTATTTACTGGGGATACCTCCAAGCAATACAATTAAGACTCATAGCAGCTATGGCTGCCTGCAGTGGATCTATCATCAGCCCATCATGGATCCCAGATGGGCTATGAGGCCCTATCCATTCCTGCCAAACTACTGGCTACTGACAGATTCTGGAGGGGAGGTAGTCATTGTCTTCTCTTATGTGCTCACCGAGGAACCCACCATGATGCAATGGATAGCCCAGCCCCATGGTTACAAGGATGACCCAGGTTAAATTCAGTGAGTCATAAGACATGAATGTGAGAACAGGAAATAGGTGTAGGAGGAGACGAAAGTGGGAAGAGTGACATTAGGATGCTCTATATATACATGTATGAAATTGTCAAAGAAAAAATTCATTAAAGTTGCAAAAACATTGTCAAAGGCAAGACATTAGCAGGGTTCAGATGGTAGCAGAGGGCCCTCCAACACATCCATTTTCATAAGTACTTCTAACGTCATCAGGAACCTTCTTGAAAACTCTGATAAGCAAGAAATGCAGCTACGCTCATGTTAAACTACATATCAGTCTAAACTCCCATCACAGTAACACAAATTCTTTTTCTGTAGAATTCTGATCTTGCTTGCTTTAGATGAGATTGTGATTATTACATTGCAAATGCTAGCCTTTGCTTCAGCTGACTTACCAATGATTTCATTAAGGCTTTATCTATCAAATTATCACTCCTTTATTCATTTCCTGTACACATACACTCACACACACAGACATACCTATCCTTGGAAAAAGTATCTTTCCTTTTTATCCATGCTAGCTTTATCCTTTTGCCAAAATGTATTTTCATACATTGGGTTTGCAAGCAGATGGCAGCCCCATACAGAGTGGGTCCTCAATCAATGTAAAGCAACAATATCCACACACCTCTTAGGGAGTTCCCTGATATTAAAAGTTTTTCATTACTTCTCACATTCTCTCTTCCATTCAGCAGAGCCTACCCTATGGGTGTATTATTTTTCCTTCAAAATGTCTTTATGCCAGATCCTTCTCTTCTCTGACTGAAATCCATCCGTGTTTATTCCTCAAGCTCCTGCACTTATATATTTTATTACAACTCCTTCATATCCTTTCCCATTCCCAAACCTAATCCTTTTCTTCTTTACCCCGAGGGCCTCTGCCAATATAACTTCAGGTGAAGCAAATGAAAATAGTAGCTTTTGCCCCAGGCTTCAGACTTCCTCTGCCAAAATTAAAACATAAAAACATTGCATGGATATTAATATTATATTCCCTGCCCTGTAAACTTTCTATAACATTCCATGGCCTGCCAGTCAGCAATAGTTATTGAGTGTCCATGCTGAGAAGTTACTGTCCTTCCGAGGACAGAAAGGAGAAGGACATTTTTGCCTTTCTTACTGGTAGTCAAAGTTCCATCCTGTTCTCTGGTCACCATACAAGGAATCCCTCTTCCCCAGTTCCTTTCTTCAATGATTAGAGCAAATGCTGGAGGTATTTTGTCCATATTAGGTACCCATTCCTTTCAGTTTCCAAGAAAATTCCTGACAGTTCCTACAAATTTTCCAGTCCATAATAGGCCTCACTCATCTTGAAAACAAGACCAGAACAGACAGGCTGAAGTCCCATGGTGGCCATTGAAATGCCGGGACTATGCGAAACATTTTACAACCACCTCTTGGCATTTACTCTTCAGAGTGCTTCTGCAAAAATAATTGTTCCCATTTTACAGATCTTGGAAGGCAGAGGTGGGGGGATCTATAACTTGTCTGGAAGTTAGAAAACTGAGAATGGAGAGGAAAATCAGATCCATCTGACTCTAGAAAGCTCCTGTAATAATAAATGTAGGATTTGTTTTGTTTTGTTTGCAATTGAACCAGAGAAAATTGCAAATCCGTCTTCAAAATTCTGGTTGAGGATCAAGAAATTCAAAGCATGCTCTAAGTCATCACCTTTACAAGCACAGGTCCAGTGTGTGTGCGCACGCGCGTGCGTGCGTGCGTGCGTGCGTGTGTATTGTATACATGTACATGCATATGTGTGTGCACCTGAACATGTAGAGGCCAGAGGTCAAGTCCGATGTCTGGGATCTTCCTTTATCTCTTCCCTAACTGAACCTGGAGCTTTCTGATTGACCAGAATGGCTGGCGTCAGGGTTTTCCTGTCTTCACCTCCCTCCTCTGCTATTACAGACACATGCTGCCACATTCAGCTTCTTACCTAGGTGCAAGGGATCCAAATTCCTCCTTATGCAGCAAGTCCTTTACTCGCTGGGTCATTTCCTCAGCATGTGTTTATTTAGCCACTGTAAGTGGTGCTAGCAAAGGCCATTAGGTTCAAAGGAAAGAATTTAGGTTTAGAAATGGGAAAGAACATGAACAACCCAAGATGAAATGTGAGTGTGCAAGTAATGCAGGTGGATTTGCTGAAAGAGCCAAAGATTTCTTAGGAATTATCTGGCTGAAATCCAGCCTATTACCAAGGCTGAATAATTCTAATAAAAGTATCCAGAACAGTGGCAGAGGTTGCCGCAATACTTTCTCAAGGACAAGTCCTCACTCCCACCAGAGATCCCCACCCCCACCCCACCCCACATTACCGCTTATACCAATAGTTCTGGGTCCAAAGCACAGCAATCATATCATGGCTCTGTGAACAATGGAGTGCTGTAAAGAGCTATGTTTCCTATGACTTTTGAGTATTAGCCACTCTTCCTTGCCCATTCATAATCTCAGAAGGGCAGCATTGCGTCATCATGCTATATGTGCCTTAGTCTTTTGGGGATGCCTGAGAAAATAACATTCCGTAGATGGCTAACAAACAACAGAGATACACGTACCATGATTCTGCAAGCTTAGAAGTCCAATATCAAGGCGTCAGCAAATTGGATACCTGGTTCATATATAGAATCTTGCTCTTGCTAGAAAGTGCAGCTCTCTCTTATTACAGCAATAATTACTTTCACAATAGTCTACTTCATGACCCAATCACCTTCCAAAAGCCCTACCTCCTAATGCCACCATACTGGGTATAAGGATTTCACAGCATGAATTTTAACACATTCAAGCTGTAACACCACCTAAGCACAGATAGTTCACCTCATAAACACCAGCAGCTGCTTTATGACATAAGGATTATGTATGAAAATGGCCACATGACTGTGGAGATCCTCACACAACAACTCAAAAATAAAAGCCAGACTAGCTTTCACCAGCTGCCACTCACACCCTCCACATGTGTATTTGTCAAATTTGGTAGGAAGGACACAATGTTGACAGAGACCAGCAGTCATATGAGGAAAAAGTCACAGTCGCAGAAAATGGCTAAGTCTGTGGAAATGGATCCTAAATGTCTCCTCTAAGAGAAGAGATGTGTTTCAGTGAGGGTACCATGTTCCCAGATCTTTTTGTCCTTCAAAGTAAATTGCAATAGATCTTATTTTTTTAATTTGATAACTAATAAAGCATTTTCAGTATCCAAAATTGAAACTTTGGTCTCTCCAGGTACCCCACAGGCCACCAATTGGGATCATCTCTGAAGGTGTCTTCCATTTGACATTCTGGGTTCTGCCATTGGGTTAATCTTTCATTCTCAATCCAAGGATTCCACCCACTACAGTAAGTGAGCTATGGACAGCCTCTGTAAAGAAAGACAGCCCATAACCGAGCCCATAGCAACTTTCTCCTTCCCTTCTAGTGACTTTCCACTGGGTACCCAGCTGTGCTCAGCAGAGTGCCTCAAGTGCGTCCATCTGCTCCTTTCCCTGCTTGTGAACTGAAAGTTGCCCAATCCATTTTGTCCATACATATATCAGATTTCTGATTTCCTCCAAAGCTTGTTACACAATTGACCTAAATTGATCCTTTAAGCTCTCCTTAGCCTCCCAATACAAACCCAAGGTAACTACTATCATGGCCAACAACTTCTTAGGTCCCTGTGATGCTTAACATTGATTGTTAACTTGACAGGGTCTGGACTCTCCTGTGCAGCAGACCTCTGGGCATGACTGTGAGAGAGTTCCTAGCCTGGCTCAAGTGGGAAGGTCTTTGCTAACTGTGAAGCTTGCACCATGGCTTGGACCCTTGACTGAAAGGAGAAAGCAAGCCAAATAGCAGCATGTATCTTTCTTTCTGACTGTGGATACAGTATGACTAGCTACCTCGAGCTCCTGCTGCCATGAATTCCCACCACAATAGGCTGCACCCTCAAACTGCAAGCCAGAGTAAATCTTTCTTCCCTTCGCTTGCTTTTCTCGGGGATTTTATCACAGCCAAGTGAAAAGGGAAAGCAACTAATACCACACCATTTACCAAGGAGCCTAATGGAGTATTCTATTCCAGTATCCTTCCCTCCTGATAACTATATCATATAGTGACTACCAAGATATCGTCTGGGTCAGACTGCCTGGGTTTGAAGCCCAAATTCTTAGCCAGGCAGCGGTTGCACACGCCTTTAATCCCAGTACAGGCAGAGGCAAGCAGATCTCTGTGAGTTCAAGGCCAGCCTGTTCTACAGAGCTAGTTCCAGGACAGCTAGGTACACAGAAACTCAGACTTGAAAAATCAAAAAGAAAGGAAAAAAGAAAAAAAAACAAATTCTTCACTAATTAGCTATGTGACTTTGAAAAAAAATCATATAGCCTCTTTGTGACTCTGAATCCTCAGCCTTGGCTTCACTGTAGCAATACTTCTATCAAAGGATCATTGTAGAGAAGAAGTAAGTTACATGTAGAGCTCTCTAAATGATGTTTGCCATACAACCTAGGTTGTATTTTTCTTGTGTTATAATTCAAGAGATCCACACAGCACGATCAGTACACGCATTAGTAAAATGAGATGCTAATCAACAGAATAGGAATTGGAAGGCAGACAAGGTTCCTAACTATCCAGTTCAGTGATCACCCTTCCTCCTTACAAAAATCAAATCACCAAAAACAAGAACTGCTAATAAATAGATACAAATGGTGGGGGCTGGGTCTCAGGGTGAGGTCACAGGTACCAGTGAGAAACTCTAAAGAAATGGACTAGAAGGCTGGGTCTGCTTTTTTCTGAACTTAAACTTTACTCATAGCCCCAGCCATGGAAAGGGAGGCTTGAACATCCATTATCTTCCCCCACACCATTAAGCATGTATCTGTGTCTTTGTCTCTCTCTCTCTCTCTCTCTCTCTCTCTCTCTCTCTCTCTCTCTCTCTCTCTCTCCTTCTCTGTGTGTATGTGTGGTGTCTCTCTGTATATGTATGTGTGTGTGTCTCTGTGTGTATGTCTTTCTGTGTGTGTGTCTGTCTGTCTGTCTCTGTGTGTGTGTGTGTGTGTGTGTGTGTGTGTGTGTGTGTGTGTGTTTGTGTGTGTGTGTGACTCTGTGTGTCTCACTCCTACAGAGATAATAAGCAATAAACAGTTTTCCTGGTTTCCACTACATATAAGGGAATTGAAGTGTGCTGTTTGGTCTCTAAGTTGTATGACAATTTCCAGAAGCTTAGAAGAGGTAAGCACTCTTATTTCCCCAAGCATATAGAATGAAGGAGAAGGCTAATGTGTTGGCTTGATTGATAATGTCCCCATAGGCTCATATGTCTGGATACTTGGTCCCTGGTTGGTGGAACTGTTTGGGAAGGATTAGGTGTGGCCTTGTTGGAGGATGTGTGTCACTAGAGGTGAGCTTTAAGGGTTCAAAAGCCCATGCAGCTCTCAGTTAACTCTCTCCCTCTGCTTTGGGGTTCTTGTCTCCACGTGTAAACTCTCAGCTACTGTTCCAATGGCCTGCCACCATGCTCCCCACCAAGAAGGTCATGGGCTCACCCTCTGAAACCGTAAACCCAATAAATTCTTCTATAAGTTGCCTTGGTGCTGGTGTAAAACATCGCAACAATAGAAAAGGAACTATGACAGCTAAAGTGGGTCCTGGGTAGCACTATGGACACTTCAGTGTTTGGAATTTGAGACTGGAGACTGAGTGAGCCTGGGTCCCAAATTACCCTTAGTAGGAACAAATCGGGGAAAGAAGAGAGAGAGGACACTTGGGATCCTGCCCTGTGTAAATCTGAACAGCAACCCCAGCAGATATTGATAACTCCAAGGCCCTCAGGTCATCTTCTTTCTAAAATGAAGATCAGACTCCAAGTTCCTCCTTGCACAACACCTATGAGCTACAAGGCCATAAACTACCTCAAACCACTGAAGTACAATGCCACACATATTGTCACAGCCTTGGCATGAAGCTACCACAAACTCAATCATTAGATTTCATCAGCCTCATTCTACAGTTTGTTTCTAATCAAGAATTACCTTCTCCATATTTCACCCTTATGCCTGAGGGACTTCTCCCTACCTGGTAGTTGTCAAGGTAGGAGTCTGGGTAAGTAGAAACCTCTTTGAATTCCCTGGCAATCTGGCTGTTGGGTAGCAGGGCTTCACATTGGTCAAGGGTATACTGAGTTTAGGCACCTGAAAGTGTGTGAAATAATTACATCTTGTTCTATGATTCTTCATGTTTGTTCTCAGCTCAAATTCATCTAGACATTTTGGAGTGAGCCAACTCCCCAGTAAAGGGGAGTGTTTGTCACTTGCCCAGACATTTTTTAGATGCCTTTTGTGATTGGATAACTCAAATCTAGCTTTGTTTTAAGCCTTCAAGCATACTGTAATATTGATGGGAAAAGGAAGTTGACAGGAAAGAGAGACCCACCCCACTCCCAACTTTAGCTCCTGTGTGAACGGATGCAAAGAGGGGGCATTTCATTTTACCAACATAGCATGTCCTTCCTAACAAAGAGGGATGCTTAGAGAACTAAGAAAGAGAGAATATCATAAGGGACATAAGGAGGAAGGGACCAAAAATTAAAATTCTCACTGACAATCTAGTTTCCAACATAAGTGCAATTTTAGGTTATGCAAAATTTTTCTTTGCAGTGAAATCAAGAGCTGGCTGTAATTTCTGACACCATATTGCAATGCTGCTGCTTAAAAAGCTAAGCATATGTATGTGTGGTTTATCAAACAAAGATGTTGTTGTTTAACATGCAAAGCCACAGCAGTTACATTTGTTACAAACGCTGGGTTTCATCCAGCAAGATTGAACTACTTTTCCTGCCTTAGGAAGTCTTACTTCCATTAGCTCTGAATATGGCTTTTCAAGATTACAGTTTCCTTCCCTTTGGACCTCAAGAAAATATGAGGATAGAGAATTGGCTTTGGGTCTTTGCTCATTTAAGTTACATTTTAAAACACATGGAAGCATTCTGAAATAATCCTTGGGACCACTAACTTTCCCCGTCTGTGTGTTATTATAACATCAGAAAAGGGGAGCTGGTTGAGTAAAATGAGATGGATGGAAGAAGGGCTGGGAGACGACTCCATGGGTAAAGTGCCTGCTGCAGAAACCTGAGACCCTGAGTTCAATCCCAAGCACCCACGAAGGAAGCCAGGTGTAGTAGCCTTCACCTATAATGCCAGCACTGGGAAAACAGAAAGATTCCAGAGGCTGGGTAGTCAGACTAGCCAATCAGAGAGTTCTGTGTTCAGTGATAGACCAAGGTGGACGACATAAAGAAAGGCTCTTAACACTAACCTTTGACCTTCATATAAGAGAGAGAGAGAGA